TGTCTTCCCTCTCTGTGTCTGTCTCTGTGTCCCAGTTTCCCGTTTTTATAAGGATACCAGCTATGCTTGATTAGGCCTACCCTAATGACCTCATCTTAACTTGATCATCTGCAGAGACCCTATTTCCAAATAAAGTCATATTCATAGGTACTGGGGGTTAGGGTTTTGACATCTTTTGGGGGAATACAATTCAATCCATAACAAGTATGAAGGAAGGAAGCAAGTTTATTCTCCTTTCTCTACCCGCTGCCATCACCCTCAGACCATGACCGATGTGGTGGGTAACCCAGAGGAAGAGCGCCGAGCTGAGTTCTACTTCCAGCCTTGGGCTCAGGAGGCTGTGTGCCGATACTTCTACTCCAAGGTAGGTGCCTGGGCTGTACAGGGGAAACTGACAAAAGGCAAGGGGTCTGCACCCCTGATGGGGGTCATTGGTATTAGCTACCAGTTCCTGGTTTGTCTCATCTCCCAATCCTTCCACTATTTTCTTCTTAGGTGCAGCAGAGACGACAAGAATTAGAGCAAGCCCTGGGAATCCGAAATACATAGGGCCTCACCCACAGCCCTGATTTGGCTGCACCGATTCTTTATTTGGCCCCTGTGCTGCCTGCCTCATAGCACCTGCCTTGGTCTTGCTTGGGGCCTTCCAGGGAATGCTGTTGGTTCAAGGACAACACCAGAACGAAGAGGGTCTCACATTTCTGTCTTACAAGACACCTGTTACCCTCTTCTCTCACCCCATCCTTTCCCACTCCCCAGCTTCCCTTTGCCCCATGAAGTTCCCATGTGCCTCTACCCTCCCCTGGTCTACATAGGACCTCTAGATAGTATTAGAGAGAGAACCCGTAGTGGTAATCAGTGCATTGAATGGATTGGGCCTAAGGCCAGGTGGTCTTCAAAGGGACCAGCTACACTGATCCTGCCCTTCAGAGACCCAGGAGTTGGGAGCCTCAGCCTCTTCTCCAAGACTCAGGCCTGGGGGCACTCTATAAGCTAGTTAATCTTGGCTCTCCTGATAACAGAATCCAATTTCCTTCCTTTCCTCCACAGGTTTGGAGCAAACTCTCCCTTCACTTGTTGCCCTCTAGCATTAAAGGAACCCTGGTTCTTGGGCTCCACTGAGCCCCAGGTCAGTTTGCAGTCTTCTGGATTGGCCTGCTGTCTCAGTGCTCCTCTTACTCCCTCGTAGGGGGTCCACATCAGTATTGGAGTTTGTTCTTTTAACAATTGCTCCCTCCCAGCATACTCCTTGTAGCTGCTCTTTTAAGGATTCCCTCCTGTCCGTCCTAACCCAGGGTATTTGAGTGGTGGAATCTTGCCTTTCCCTGTCAGAGCCCCAGTGATCTAACCTGGGGTACTGTCATTGCTGGCAGAGGCTGTTCCTTCCTGCTGTTGCTTGAAGGTGTGATTCATTCATTCACTCCACCCTGCATCCCCCATCCCTTTGTGGAGAAACAGGCCTAAAGTCAAACGGGTAAAAGCCCTGGGCCATCCCTGTCTTCCTGTCCCTTGTCTGCCTAGTTGACACCCACTGGTGACTTCTAGGGCACTGAGGAGTGAAAGCGCCTAGGGCTGGAGAATAGCTCTGAGTTGGGTTTGTGACTCCTTCCTCTCCTTGCCTCATAGGATTGTGACTCCCCAGCCCCTGCCCTCAAAGCTTCAGACCCCTCAGGTAGCAGCAGGACCTTGTGACCTTGGCCCCTTGGAACTGAGATGGTTTTGCATCTTTCCATGAGAGCCTCAGATTCTTCCAGGTTGTATCACCCAGAGTTAGTATATCCCAGGCTCGCAGACAACACAGCAGGGTGGGAGACAGCTGGGCACAGAGGGGGAATTCCGTTCAGCATGGGCTCTAAACCCACAGAACTGACAAAGCCCCTGCTTCCCCACCCCCTCCTCAGGCTCCTGCGAGCACACCCCTGCAGCCCGGTATCCCTGTCTGTTCCATACTGGGGACAGCAGAATTTTCTCCCTGTCTTCCCTTTCCTGCCATTACCCCACTCGTCCCTTGAAAGCTTCTGCCCGGTGACACTGGACAACCTGTTCTTGGGGCTGGAACCATGAGAAGGAAGCTCAGCACTCCTACACAGTGTCCCTGTTGAAGATAACTTTTTATTAACTGAATTATGTTTTTTTTCATGGACCAAAATTTTTTTTGTACTGTCCCCTATCGATGTCACCCAGTTTTAATAAAAGAATCTTCTGAAGTATGAGTTCCCCTGCCTCCTGAGGGAGAGCTCTTCCCTGAGCTCGCTCTCTCCAGTGCCATTAGCCATGCTTATGGTGTTTGTTTACATTATTTGACAAATAATATGCAGCACCTGTTACGTGCCAACTGTGGTGCTGAGTGCTGGGGATACGGTGGAAAACAAGGTTTCTGACCTGTGGACCTCAGGTCCTCGCCTTAGAGCTCTGTCAGTCCCCCGTGGTCCACGCAGGCCAGAGGCTGGTGGGACTACTGGGTTTCATCACTGCTTCCAGCTCCCCTGTGGGGAAGGTACTAAAAGGACAGTGGCACTGCCATCATCTTCCTTGTCCTTTTCACCTCCAGGGCTTGAGTGTGCTGGTTCAAGCACACTATCCTTGGGTGCCTCTGATCCCCTAGGCTTGGTGAACCCGAGCATCCTCTAAGGGAGTTCCATTTCTCAGGGCTCCTATTTAGATCCAGGCCAGCATCTGCACAGTTAAAACCATTTTTGTTCTCTGTGCCTACTATTCTTTAAGGTTCCACTTTCACAGCCTTGAGTAAGATTTCAGTTCTTAAGACCAGCATGGGAGTGCTTGCTGTGTTGTCATTTTCACACTGTAGACAACCAGGCCCTCCCTGGAAGAGTTGGGATGATTTTGCTCAGGATTGATACTCCCATTAGCAGAGCAATTCCCATCATAATGTGCTTGCCTCCCTTTTTGTGGCTCATTATTTTTTGTGCTATTACCTAGCTTGTTTATACCCAAGAAGGGGGTTTAGAACATAGGATGAGTGCAGGTGCATTCCAAAGTTGTAGTTAAGAGATGCCTCCAGGGATGAGAACACTCAAGTATTGCCTGTCTGCAGTCAAACCCACCAAGAACAAAACCACTTTATGATCTGGAACTTAGGGGTTTATCACACTTGGGAAAGCAGAGACAAGAGTGTGTGGGTGATAACTTGGAGTGGGAAAAAATTGATGTCAAGGACTTCGAAATGGCATCTGTTTTTACCCAGGCCAATTACATGTATAATGAATAACTGATGAACCCTTACTAATTTCAAGCAAATAATCTACAGTTTGCTCTTGGGAAAAGGGCCTACTAGTGCAGGTAACTTCCTATGACAAGCCAATTTCTGGATCTCTACACTCTTCCAATATAAATAAACACATTCTTTGTCTCCACACTACTTTAAATTACTGAAGGGACATAAGAGATGGAAGCATTTAGGGAAAAAAAGTCATTTCATGCACAGCTATCCATTCTTTGGGGTTCCCGTGATATGTGTTAGGGACAAAAGCATTCTTTCTCTTCCATCACCCATAATCAGTGCTCCCATCTGGCGGCCTGGCACTGATGCCTTTGTCTCAGTGCCAGTGCAATACTGGGGTGATTTGTGGGACGCTGGCTCTGAAGTAGGTACAATTTTGTTCCGGAGAAATAACTACTGATTTCATGTATGTTCTATGAGAACCGTGGCCATGAAAGGAGAATAGGGGGGGCTTTTCCTGAGCAGTTCCTAGAAATTAGAAATTGCTCTTGACTTTGTGCCCACTTACCCTTTCCCAGTAGTTGCACAGCGACTCCCCTCTGGTCTAGTGCTTATCACTTGCCAGCGAGCAGCAGCCCCAGGGATTGGAAACACCCACTTAGCAGTCTGCCAGGGCTGGAGGTCAGCATGTGAGCACACAATGGTCTCTGCCCTCCAGGCCAAGGTGCACAGACAGCTGGAGTGTTAGGGCACTTTGCCTCACTCTCCAGATCAGCTTAGAAACGCGATCTCCCTCCTCTTAGTCAAACAGATGGTTGTGGGCGATGCGGAGCCCTGAACTGCTGAAAGAGCTGCTTCTATTCTTCCCCTCCCCCTAAAATCACATACCCCACTTACTCTCATTACAGCATCTGAGACCACCAAGCTCCACAGGTAACAGCTACTCCCGGTCCGGGCTCCTTCCCCCTTTTTGGCTTCTGCAAACTAACTGACAGAGCCCCTAGTGTGGCAGTTTAAAACCCCAAGAAAAAAACTGCAAAGGCTCTCAAGGAAAGTGAACACTTCAGCCACCCTTTTATCTCCTATCTTCTTCCTCAAGCCCAGAGCCTGCAAAAGGAGAACTGTAGACATCAGAGCCTGTAACTCTGATTTTTCCCACCCTCCCTGGAAGACATTCAGGTGGGGATGCTTTGAGGTGAGGGGAGGCCCACTGGCGAACCCCTAAGGGGATGACCTTATCTGTCAGGGCTCCTGGGGTCTCTCCTTATCCTTGAGCTGGGCTGCCCCCAAAGCAGGACTTTACCTGGTATGTAGTCTTAGCTTTAGAAATAGGCCCACACCCACCCACCCCACTCAGCCACAGCCCTACAGTGCAGCTAGTGTGGGGCCAGTGACATGTCTCTGTCACTGCTAGGGGACACTAGTAGTGTCACTGTAGAACAGTTTCTGGGGTCCTGGGAGAAGGATATGCAAGGCATATACCTTGGAAAAGAATGCATTCTGGTGCCTGCTACTAGGGCTATATACAATTTATTCCGGTGCTGGGAGGCAGAAGGGAGTGAGGGGGCCAGTCTGGACTATTTCTTGGCAGACCTCATGATGAGACTGTTGCAGGGGGACCGAGGGGACTGGGCTGGGGCCAAGGGAAGAAGGCTGCCATCGCTGTCAGCTGGCAAACCTAAGAGGAAAGGTGGGGTCCGGTCTGTGCTCCATTCCTGTTCCCCACCTGTCTCCACTCTTTTCTCCCTTTTCCCTGGCTCTGCCAGACTGTCTCTCTGGGCGCCCGCCTCCCCACCCACCCCTGGAGGGTGGGGCTTGGCTGCACCCACGTGTGGCGGAGTTATATGCTCCTAGCGGGCAGAGGAGCTGGGGAGTGTGGAACCAGCTGGCTCAGGAAGAAAAGCGGCACCATGGCCAGCAAGAAAGTCTGCATTGTCGGCTCCGGCAACTGGTAAGTGGCTCTGTCAAGAAGTATGGAGAGGAAGGGGGATCCCCCAAGGGGGCAGGGGCCTAAGTGGACAGGAGGCAGACAGTGGGTAGGAAATACCCTGTGGTTCCTCTTCCATCCCTGGTGCTGTCTTCTGTGCCTACCCCCATAGGACAGATGGTGCCCAAACCTCTCCTGGCCCCTGCCTGTCCCCGCACCTGTTTGCCACAGGAAAGGAGCCTCCAGAGTGCTCCCTGCTTGAAAAGCTGCTTGGGTTTGGGGTGGGAGTGACAAGGAAGGTGGCTAGTAAATAATCGTGTGGGCTGCTGTGATGTGCTGAGGTGGAACACTGCCCCCTCCTCTGCCACCATTCCTTTCTCACGCCTCCACTCCTCCACTTTCTGTGCTTCCCGTCCCACCAGGGGCTCAGCGATCGCCAAGATTGTGGGTGGCAATGCAGCCCAGCTGGCACGCTTTGACCCACGGGTGACCATGTGGGTGTTTGAGGAAGACATCGGGGGCAGAAAGCTGACAGAGATCATCAACACACAGCATGAAAATGTCAAATACCTGCCAGGGCACAAGCTTCCCCCCAACGTGGTGAGCCCCAACACCTGCAAGGAAGAGAGGGAAGTGGAGGGGTGCCCCCTGCTGAGGTGGGGGCCATTTCAGGTGCCACCTGGCCTTGGGAAGTGTCTCAGGAGGGCTGCTGCAGGCACAGGGCACTTCTATGCACAGCCCCCAAAATGGTCCCCTGGGAGCTTTCTGGAACTGAGAACTTGAATGTGTTCCTCCCCATCCCCACCCCCACCCCCCACTCTATGGGCTCCCAGGCTTTTCAGAGAAAACAAGGAAGTTGTTTTCTGTGGTAACCAAAGACAGGTTCTCCAGCTCCCAGACCTGGGGTTCAGGTAGTGTCTGCCTCAGGCTCTAATCTTGTTACTTATTCACTGGGTTATAGCAGACTTGGACACTAACCCTTGGACTTAGAATCTTTGGTCAAATCTATGTGGCTCACTCCCCACAGCAGAGAAAATAGCAGGAAGACTGGTGCTCTTCCCAGCCAGAGGCCCTAAAGAGCAGGGTGATGAAATTACTTGGCCTCTTCCTCCTGCCAAACTCAGCCCTCCTTTGGCTTCTAACTGTCCCCCAGCCAAAGGCTAGGAGGGTACTGGGAGGAGGTTTCCAGGAGTCAAGAACCCATGGAAGCTGGAGCTGAGAGGGAATGAAGGCTAGGGGGAAGGAATAGAGTCTTATTTCTCCAAGTTCAGCCCTTCCAGGTTCAATGCTCAAAATGGCCTTCCTTTCCCCTACAAGCAAGCTTCACTCTTTGGCTTTTAGATCTGAATGGGGTTGGTTAGAAGTCTATTGGGCCCATGAGCACTGATCACCCCACAGGTGGCTGTCCCAGATGTGGTCCAGGCTGCAGTGGATGCTGACATCCTGATCTTTGTGGTGCCCCATCAGTTCATCAGCAAGATCTGTGATCAGCTCAAGGGCCATCTGAAGGCAAACGCCACTGGGATATCTCTTATTAAGGTGCCAGGGATGCCAGGTGGATGGGAATGTAGCTAACTGTTGTGGGACTCAGAGCAGGTGAAGTGGGGAGAACAGAAAGTGGCAGAAGTGGGTCAAGAATTTTCTGGAAAGAGTAAAGGAGTTGGCTTTGGGGAGGCTTGAGAAAGTCAGGTGCTGGGGACTGGTGGGAAGGGGAGGTTCATTGAGGAGTAGACAAGACTGGTTTAGAGGAAGATGTCTTGGGGCATTTAGGTGGTGTACAACAGATGCCTGGGGACAAGAGGAGTGGGCTGGTTTGAGAAATGTGAAAGAGAAGTTGGTTTGTAGCAGTGGCTGAGATGGCAGCTGGTTTGGGGAACTCGGGAGTGGGATGTTTAGGAATGTGGAGGAGATACATTGACTTGGAGAGGTAGGTTGACTTGAGGGTATGTGAGAGGAGAGTTTTCAGATAGATTCATTTTCATATGCCAACTACCCTACTTACAGCAAGCTTTGGCTTGGATGGAATGGGGCAGGACCTTTGGGACAGCAGATTTGGAAAGGGCGGGATTTCTAGGTGGGAAGCTCCCAGGTGGGCATAAAGGGCACCTGGCCTGAGCTCCGTCCTGTGCCCAGGGTGTAGATGAGGGCCCCAATGGGCTGAAGCTCATCTCTGAAGTGATCGGGGAGCGGCTCGGCATCCCCATGAGTGTGCTGATGGGGGCCAACATTGCCAGCGAGGTGGCTGATGAGAAGTTCTGTGAGACAACTATTGGTGAGAGCCCCTCCACAGCCCACGCACATCCTGCAGCTCCACTTATATCCCCTCCTCACACTCTTCCTCCCCTGAGTCCACTTAGTCATCTTCTCCCCATAAGGCAGGCAAAGGAAGAAGACCCTCTGGTCTCCCCAAGTATCGGAGGTGAGGGAGGATTGGGACACCCCCAGGGAAAAGGCTGCAGGTCCTGCTTAGGGCACATGTATGAAAAGGAATCAAGAGTTCCCCTTTCAAGCTTTGCTTCTCCCCACTTTAGGCTGCAAGGACAACGCCCAGGGACAGCTTCTGAAAGAACTGATGCAGACACCTAATTTCCGCATCACAGTGGTGCAAGAGGTGGACACAGTAGAGATCTGTGGGGCCTTAAAGGTGAGAGGGGTGTAGAGGCACTAGGGGGTAGGGAGAAGGTCCTGCAAGAGGGTCTGGCTGAGCTATACAAGGTTGCTGGTACTCGAGACTCTCACTCACAGGAAGTTGCTTCCGTTTCCCACCAGATGCCATACACACAGGAAGAACTGCAAAAGCAAAGTCAAGGACATTTAGGCTTGCTGATTATTCACCATCAGACTCTGGACCCACTTCTTCCTTTCACCCTATAGCCTCTTGTAGAACATCCCTACCCCTGGCTCCAGGGGGTGGTCCAGAGGGGAGAAGAGATGCCCTGGGAGAGCACCCAAGGCTAATGGGAGACAAGATGTCCAGAATCCCCAGAGAGACCGATGGCTAGAACTGTGGATCCTAGACTGAGCTGTGGATATCAGGGATAGTCATGAATGGGAGGGCCAGCTGGACAGAAGATTGGTTTTCAGGAAATGTCCTCAAGGACGGAGTATGGAGCAGATTTGGGGAGCCAGTTAAGCATAAGTCCATGCTAAAAGGAGGGAGTACAGCAAAGGGGAAAACCAAGAGGTGGAAATAGTTGTGGAGCCACCCACTATACTTCACTTAATTTTAGTGGACATATCATGGCTGATGGAAGCAGCATGAGGCAGGTGGTAAGGGCTGCAAGCAGGGTTTGCAGGAAGGGATCCTTTGTCACCTGTGACCTCCATTCCCCAAAGAATGTAGTGGCCGTGGGGGCTGGCTTCTGCGATGGGCTGGGCTTCGGCGACAACACCAAGGCAGCGGTGATCCGGCTGGGGCTTATGGAGATGATCGCCTTTGCCAAAATCTTCTGTAAGGGTCCTGTGTCCCCTGCCACCTTCTTGGAGAGCTGCGGTGTTGCTGACCTCATCACTACCTGCTACGGAGGGCGGAACCGAAAGGTGGCTGAGGCCTTTGCCCGGACAGGAAAGGTGAGCCATGAGGAGAATGGAGAAGGGAGGGTGAGCCCTACAGGTACCAAGGTAGAGGAATCTGGCTTGAGGTATCTCTTGAGCACAAACATTAAACTTGGTATGAACATTTCTAGCCTTTCTTTCCTCCTAAGACCTTCTACCTCTCCTCTGAGCCCCAGACTCTCCACCTCACACTGACAGTTCTCCTCTCCCATTTCCATCCACCTGTCCTGTTTTCTTCACAGTCCATTGAGCAACTGGAGAAAGAGATGCTGAATGGGCAGAAGCTGCAGGGGCCCCAGACAGCCCGGGAGCTGCACAGCATCCTCCAACAAAAGGGCCTGGTGGATAAGTAAGTGTCCACCACAGCCCCACTGGGAACCACAGCCCCAGTGGTGGAGGGAACCACAACCAGAAGTACTCTCCCCCTTTTTCATCTTCCTGAACCCTCTTCAATCTGTGAAGTGGACACAGAGAGAAATGTTATCTTATGTTAACAGATACAGAGACCAGAGATTGGAGAGAGTCTGGTATGCTCTCTGCCCCAGAGCTAGTTCATGGTTTTGAACTCCTTGCAGTCTAGTGTTTTTTATACCACATTGCTTCAACCCTCTGCATAGCCTCCCTCAATCCTTTCCTCCTCCTCTGCCAGGGGACCTGGAGCTCTGAGGCAGCAAGAATAAGCTCACCTGATTGTCCCACTTCTATGTCTTGCACCCTCAGTCTAAACTGCTCCCAGAAGCCAACCCTCTGTCTCTGATTGCTGTCCTGGGTACTGAGGTGTGAGAACAGTCTCTACTTCAAGGTGCCGCTTTATGCGAAGCACAAAGACAGAGGAGGTGATGAGCAGATCAGAGCAGAGCTCTGGTGGTCTGAAAAAGAATACTGGAATAAGAGAGTATAAAACAGGTTCAGAAGATTAGCTCATGGCTGGTCAGGATAAAGCCTCCTGGTAAAGGAAGCAGCCTGGGCAAGAGGATAAGAAGGAAATTGTCATTTATTTGAGCACCTTCATAGAATACATAATCATTTCACTACTTTGTTACATTGGCCCCATTTTACAGTTGATGATACTGAGGCTCACAGAGGTCAAGTGGCTTGCCCACTTGGAAAAAAAGCAATTCCAGGGAATGCCGGCAAGTTCAATATGATAGAAAGCAAGGCAATTAAAAACCTGACCCTAAAACCCAGAGCTAGGAAGTTCAAATTCTCAGCGACCGGAAACTGAGAACCAGAGTCTACCTGAACTCAAAGGTGGGAGAATAGGAGAGTGGAGTGTTAGGTGGGGATAGGGAACAGGGGATAGAGGACATATGAAAAGTCTAAGTTGGTCTCTCCTTTCCCATTCTAGGTTCCCTCTGTTCATGGCTGTGTACAGGGTATGCTACGAGAGCCAGCCAGTGGGTGAATTCATCCGCTGCCTGCAGAATCATCCAGAACATATGTGAGCAGCGCTATGGCCCAGGCCAGGCAGTTTCTTTACCCCGGCGGAGACAGGCAGAAGCTTGGGTACCTGGCACCAGGATCTCTGGGTCTCCCCACAGAGCAGCCTCTTCTCAGCTCTTCCCTGGAGGACAGGGGGCTGTGGGGCCCTACGACCTGTCTGGAAATCCTAAACCACGAAGCAGCCTGCAGCCTCTTGCCACATCTCACCAGGAATCGAGATGCCTGTCCCTCTCCAAACATGGGGCTTTCTCCCTGTCCTCTGGGAAGCCCCCGTGCTGTCTGCTTTGGGCATGTGTGGTGGGGTGGAGGGTGGAGGGGTAGCGAGGTAAGGCAAGGCAATGGCTACCCACTGCTGCATCACATAGAACAGGAATCCTGTTCCCAAGCCCGGCTGAGTGGCTAAAGAATTATCTCAGCTACAAGAGGGATGAGACAAGGCCTGTCAGGGAGGGGTTTGAGATTTTGAGCTGACATACGGACTCCTTTGCTCTGTCTGACCTCTGCCAGGCCCCACACAGCATCAATGGATCTCAGTGTTTGTTAACAAAATACAAAGATCTCAACCCCCTTCTAGCTTCTCCTAGCAACATCTGCGTCCTCAGAAACCTCTGGTCATTCCCCTTCCCCTCCCCCAGGCTGCCCTGGCACCACAGTTACTGCCATGCTGGCATTTCTGGCCCTGGGGCTTGTCATTCTCCCCATGGACTTCCCGGTTCCTAATTCTTTGCCAGCTCCTCCCCACTGTGTGTGACCTTTGCAAGCCTTCCCTCTCCCTCCCCACCAGCACCCTCTTTGGGGAGCAGGAACTTAATCTGCTGACAGAGCTACACCTTTTCATAGCAGGCTCAGATCACTCTGCTCCCTGTGACCTTCGTATCTGCCTTGCCCCTCTTCACAGGAGCTCTAGTGGCAGGGGAGGTTTCGGCTGGGTCCCTCCTCCTGCTGTCTCCCCAGAACATCCTTGGCTCCACCCCCTTTCCTTCTCCCAAACCCTGTACATATTTCTCAGCTGCCTCCAGAGCGGCCAGGGCAGCTAACAAGCACCTGTATCTAGAAGCCAGGGGGCTAGAGAGTGTCCCAAAGGCTGAGCAGGCGTAGGGAAGGGTGAGCAGATCCCCATGTTGCTGGGTCCTGATGTTCCAAGGCCAGCTCTCTGTCATCTGCCTTCTCACAAGGTATATATGAGTACCCCCAAGAGCTAGGAGACTGAAGGAAGAGGAAAAACAATTAAAACCACCCTATCCCTTAGGGCAGAGATTTTTAAACTTTTTCATTTCACAGCACACATAAACTAATTACTAAAATTCTGTAGCACACACAAAATATATTTTTTACCAAGCTGACAAAAAAAAAAATAGATACAATTTTCATTCATTCACACTGGACAGCTCTTGTTGTGTTGGCTGTTGTCATTTTTTTTTTTTTTAATTTGACAATTTAAGAGAAAAGAATGCCCGACTAAAGAGTCAGGTATTGCATGTTATAAACATTCTTGCAGCACATCACACACCGGCTCAAAACTGCTGCCCTAGGGTAAGGGAAGAACAGAAAGGGGAGGAGGGAGAGGAGTGTGCTTTGCCTGGCTTAGCTCCAGGATGGGATGGCAGTGGGGAATGTCACAGGTCAGCAGCCTAGCTAGGCTCCTGGCTATAAATAGGCTCTGAGCGCCTGAGAAACTCCTTCGGGTAGAGGAAAGGGTCTCAGCTTCCCGAGTGGCAGCACCTGGCACACTATGGCCCTGGCCAGCATGTTAACTCTCGCTTATTCCCGGCCTGGTAACCAAGGGAGGCAGGCTCCTCTCAGCTTCTAGCCGTTGAGAACTCTCTTTCCAGTGAAGGGCAGGGCTGCCTGAATCAGGTAGCAGGAGTGAGGCACACAGTCCCCCCAGATCTGGCTGGACCCAGTCAGGGGCACTGACTGAATATAGGAGGTCAAAGTGGGGGCAGGAAGCCAGCTTTCTTCCCTCACCAGCAGCTGCGATCTTGTTAGATAGTCAAACATATCTTGTGTTTACCTACTGTTTGTTGCTCACTCCACAGTTAACTGAATCGAAGGTCTTCGAATCAGGCCTATTTATCTACCCAATAAAGCGTGGTTTTACCAGAAACGAGTTGGGGAAGAGTGCATCAGTGCATGTGGCAGTTCACAAGCTGTGGTGTAGCACTGCATGTATATATTTTCATTCATACCACAGGAAAAAAAGAAAACCTTCGACAATCCCAGACATTCCCTACCCCTAGCTGTGGTGCCCACGCAGTTGTCCTCCCCGAAATGGCAACCCCCTTCCATCCCCTTCCCAGCGCTTCTTTGAGGCTTCATCACGCCGCCTGCAAGCGGAGACGTCACACAGGGACAGAAACATCCCTCGTGCCCACTCCGTGGCCACGGCCAGAGTTGCCGCCTCCTCGGCGGTTGAGACCTCGCGGTGCGGGTCGGTTCTTCTTACCTGAGCTTGGCCGAAGCCTGGCCACGGGGAAGAGGGCATCTCCAGGCTCTAGGGGGCGCGCGGTCCACCTCCAGGGGGCTGACCCTGAGAGAATTTACCTAGCTACTCGAGTCGTCACTGCGTCGTAGACTGGGGATTGGCTGGCTGACTGACTTGGCAAGAAAGATAGTCTTTCTCCTCGTGACTGAGTATCCTTAAAGTTCCGGTTGAGTCTCCTAAGACCCTCTCTCAATGGAGAATGACTACAACTCCCAGAATTCAACAGGCCTCTAGGAAAGGGAGGCTCGTCTGTTGCTGTGTAGTAAGGGTGATTGGCCCGGAAGCCGGAAGTTCAAGGACGGCATCCCACTGGACCTGTGGCTAGCGTCACTCCCGCCTCAGTGGGTGGAGTTATGCTGTGTCCCGCGCGCGGTGCGCTCTCTGGCATTGGAAGCCGAATCCTAGAGGGTGAACTGGGCGGGTGGGAGGGAGAAAGGGTGGCTTTCCTCACCAATAGCGCCTCAGTGTCTAGGGTTGTTCCTGGCCCCAACCCTCACGTGTCAGGCCCTGGTTGCTGTGTTGGGCTGCGCAGACTGTGTTGGCGAGACGCTGCCTGCGGAGTCCTCAGTTGGACCGCGGGAAGCTGCAGGATTCAGGTACACCGTCTGCTGGGGCGAGCTGAGGCGCGCCTGTTTGGGCCGGCCTTTGCTCACCGCATCTTCCCATGCCCCGGGCTTCAGGCTTGCGTGCCCTTGAAGTCACCGGTGTGTCTGCGACGCGGACCCAAGCCGCGGTTTGCACTGCTTCTAACCCAACAAACTCCTTGCAGCTACCTACCGGGCGTCTTGGCCCTCCACGCTCTGACGCTAGTAGCTGTGACTTTGGGGAGGGTCAGAGTTCATGGGCCTGCTGGAGCCCTGGCTAAGAATTTGCTTTTTACTTAATGTCTCTTCCAGTTCAGTTCACTGAATTAACTTTTATCCTCGGCTTACACGTCACCTGGTCACCTATTCCCATTCAGTGATCCCACCTGACCAGTCTTCATGGCACATAACTTTGCGGTAGTGGTTTCCAATTACCATTCTGGCCCAACACACCTGAAAGATACAGCACACCTCCATCAGTGGCAATGAATTGAACCACAAGTGAATTTCAGCCAGGAAGAGGGATGTAGTAAAATCAAAAAGCCCCCCAGAAGTTTTTGGAATTTCCTACCTGCTTTCTTTCCCTAATTATTTTGCTTTAAAAAAAAAAACAACATTTATTTATTTTTAGAGAAATGGGGAGGGAGAATGAGAGAGAAACATCAGTGGTTGCCTCTCTCACACTCCCAGCTGGGGACCCGGCTGATAACCCAGGTATATGCCCTACTGGGAATTGAACCAGCAACCTTTTGGTCCATGGGCTTGCACTCAAATCCACTGAGCCACACCAGCCAGGGCTACTGTGTTTCTTCAAACTGACATTCCCCTTAGCCACTCTCTCTGGTGTTATCCTCTGCCTTCGTGTCACTTGTTACCTCCATCTGTCTTTCCCAAGATCTATCCAGATTTTTGCATATCCGTCTACCTGCTAGACATCACCTGATGTTGTGTTGAGCATCTTAATTTTAAGATGTCCAAAACCCATCTCATTTTCTTGACTCACACTGTTGCCACCATCCTAGTGCACACACCTGTCTCTTCTTGTTTCTGATTTCTATTAACTGTTCCAATCCACAAAGTTTCCTAACTTGGAAGTATTTTCAGCTTTGCCCTAATCCATTCAGTTAATAAAACTCATTTGAACTTTTGCGTCTGTCTTCTTTTCCACAGCCCTGCCTTAGCTCAGGTTCTGAAGAGTTTTTGTTAATTTGAAAATAGAAAGGTTGGATTAGGCAAGAGAAGGAAGTGCATTCTAAACACCAAATTACGTCTATTAATAAGCCTTAGGTCACTATTCTAGCTAAGCTGTACCATCCTGTTTCTTGCCTACTGCATGCTTCCAGCCTTCTTCCTTCTGCCCCTTGAAGAAGCGGCCCTATAACTGGTTAGCATCTGGCCAGGGTAAGGAGGGATATGAGGGGAAAGAAGAAGTGAGGGGGAGGTTGAAGGTCTGCAGGTCTCTTTGCTGGGAGCTTGTTTACTACATTAATGTCCTGCCCTGCCTGCCCTGCGTGTGAGTCTTCTTCACTGTCTCACAGCTTGGGGTCCTTTCAAAGCTCAGGTAATGTCAACATAACCCTTTGTCATCTTGAGTCCATGCCATTTGTTTTCCTTCCTCTGACCTTATTTAAAGTCATTTGGAATTATAATTCAAGGAAGCTATGGCTCGGCTCAGCTCTGTGTGGTTCCACTTTCAAAAACTGGCTCCAAGGGAATGTTCACCCATAGAACTCACTTGGAGAAGCACTATTATGTCTCACCCTACTCCTGACCCCCTAAGACATTATACCTGAACTTTTCTTCTCCCAAATTCTTGACTTTTAAGTAACGTATTCACACTAATTTCAGTTCCCTCAACAGAGAGGAGTCTAAGAACACACTCATAGTCCCAAATTGAGGAATGTTTTTTTAGGATGAGAGATTGCCATGCCAGACTTTCTCTTGTTTTCGGGCTCAGAATATCCAGGGAACAGTTAAATTTGAAGTAATTTTTCTCATGCAAACATGAGTCAGAAATTTTGGGGAGGCTCAGTAAGTTTCTTTTTAGCCCTTGGGATAGGTACTTGGTGTTGTGTTTGGAATTTAGAATTAATGCTGTAGAAGGGTAAGTACAACTGAAATAATATAAATGTACTATTGGCACTATTTCAGGTATATATTGGCTTAAACAGATGCTTGAGGGTTAACCTGGGAATCTGACCACCATGAATAAGATTGTTTTTATGGGAAAATAAATTGGATATTGCCTAGAAGGTTCCCATTTGATTCTCCTACATAGGATAATTTACTGCTAATATTTAATCCCTAGCTACCTCCATTAATTGTCTGCTAGCCAGAAAAACTGATACGTGTTTAAAGTAATGTTCCAATTAACATTTCTTGGTGGTTCATACCAGTCACTTTTTTCCACAGACATGGAGGGCCAGGTGTTAGCTGTCATGTCATTCAGATATTTGCACCTGTAGTTCCAGCTATGTGTCTGTATCTCCTATGCAGATTTGCCGTTTTGAATCTTAGAGCTCCTAAACATTGTCTTCCACTATACGAATGTGCTTACGTGTACGGGCCATCCAGAATAGAGGAGACAGACTAAGCAGAATGCAAAAGTTATGGAATGGCTATAAACAGGGAAATGGGCTGGGCACATGAGGGCTATCCTGGTGTCTAAATCCAGTCTGTCTTTGTAGGGGACAACATGCCAACTGCCAAGCAGCTAGCTGACATTGGCTACAAGACCTTCTCTACCTCCATGATGCTCCTCACTGTGTATGGGGGCTACCTCTGCAGTGTCCGAGCCTACCGCTATTTCCAGCGGCGCAGCTCCCAGCGCCAGGCCGCAGAAGAACAGAAGACCTCAGGAGACCTGTAGAACCTAGGGGGCTTTGTTTCTTGTCCGGAGAGACCTGAGGCATGTTGTGGAAAGAGCTCACCTACAATCTTATCTAAAGTCAAGAGAACCAGGACCCTGGGTTTTCAAACCCTGCTGGGAATAAGTGCCCATGTTTTCTCTGGAACTGTCAGTTTGGGGACGCTGTCATATCATAACAGGAATTGGGGGAGGGTGAGGCACACCTACACACATTAAATATTTTGCCATGTCTCTCTGTGTTTTGGTGTTTTTGTTTACTTAAATAGGGTATGAACCACGGGGGCAGGGGGGCGGCGATTAACTACCAGTTTTCCATTCACAGACTGGATTTCCAAATCTTGAGCTCTCGGAACCCATGAAGTGGAGGATATACAGTTTTAAAAGTAGTATTACCTTTCATGATCTCAAAAACAAGACTCCCTGCAGCTGTATAAATCCCCTGAAAAGACTAAGGACCAGAGCGCTTCTGGTCAGTAACTAACCCTGGACTAATTACTGTATCCAGGTAATGCAGTACTCTAGCCAGCATGGCCACACATGCATCTTTTAGTCAAGGAAGGCAGAGGCCTTTGTTTAACAGCACTCTCAAAACTACCAAGTGGAGGAAGCACAGTTCCCAAAAGGAAGGGTTCTTGAGCAGCCTATAGAAATGCAGTTCCTTAATGCATAAGGCATTAATGCAGTTCAATGAGCTCCTTAAGCTCATTGGGTGTAGTATTAGCATAAGGTCAGTTTCTCACTGTACCACTATATGGGAAATTTACCTGGAGGTCTTACTAGAGTTGTGAAGAGGATGTGAAAGAAAACAGTGTATTCAAGGTAGGATCCAGCTATGAAGAGAATTATTGTTGCCACCATTCCATTTTGAGCTTTAACGTTGCTAGTTCATGTCATTCTTTGTGATCACCCCAAGTATCAACTTCCTTGGATACCTGTCCTCTCATGCTCTATGTGCATACTGCTCTGACCTTTGTCCCCCTACTCCTAAACTTTTCACCTGAAAGCCCTCTTCCATTAAAACAACAAAAACAAACAAACAAACAAAACAACCAGCTTTCTGCTATCCTTAACCCTTTTACTCCCATTCTTCCTTGGTATGTTAACCAGGACTCTACTGCCTCCTCTGCTTTCTCACATGTATGGTTAGGATCACTTCTTTGAGCTCTCCCTGGTGCCACTTTGAAGTATAAAGTCAGTCCTTTTTGAGGAGCTTATATTCTCAATCACACTATTCTAGAACTTGGAAACTTCCAGGTGTTTGATTCCTATTTTATTCCAATCTGTCAGCTGCTATTGGCTTAAACTGCTTCAATGTGCAGCCTGTGCCCATACCTTATGTAGTAACAACTCCCATGTAGTCTCTGCCTCCATCCTTCTCAACCTCAGTCCTTGCTCCATTAGTTACCTCTCTAGCTCACCCTCTTCTCAGTATATAATCTTGCTTAAGGCTCTCACCCACCTACCAAAACAAACTACTCAGAATTATTTAAGGAGAAGCCTCACATGATAGCACTTCTTGGGACTTGAAGTTCTTCCACTTCTGCGACTCCATTGAAATTCCTGGTTGACATCTCCTCCGTTGTGCCACGTTCACTGAAGATTTCAGTCCCCCCTTTATTTCCTGAGGCAATGAAGCTCTAGTGTGGCCCCAGGAAGGGACCACTATCTTGTTCCTTTCTGCCACTTAGATTTTTCCTCCTGATTTCCTCTGCCCACTTTAAACACTAATGTGTTGCAGTTTTGTTCTTGGCCTATTGCGCGTATTCTGTATGTTCTCAATCTAGGTACTTAATGGTTCTAACATTCCAGAATGTAGTTAAGTGCTCAGTGTTGGTATCCTGGCTCCACCATTATAGCTCTATCGCAATAGGCCAATTATTAACTCTTTTAACTCCTCAGTTTACCTTTGTCAAATGGGGATAAAAAACTAATTCCTCATTTAAAAGGTTAATTTGAAGATTAATTATTTCATATTAACTACTTAATACTCTGGCACATGATAAGCAGTAAATAAATGTCAGCTATTAATTCCTGCTGCTGACCTCCAAGCCTGTATCTTCCAGGTTGACTTTTGAGTTTCAAATATATCCAGTTGCTTGATATATCCACTTGAATATCCTATAGTCCTCTCTAACTTGATATGTCTACCACTAACAGCATTTCTTCCCATCTCCAGGTCCTACTCATGTTTTTTCCCCATTTTAATGACACTATCATCCAAGTCAGAAATATGGGAGAATTATTAGATTATTCCCTGTACCCTACTCCCAACCAAGTAATTGTCATATTAATTTTTACCATTTAAACATCCATTTAACCAGTTCTACCCTTATAATTTCTTGCTTATACTTTTGCAGAAGGCTCTTAGTGGTCTTGGTTCGCATCGTGACCACGTCAAATTGATTCGCCACATTTCCATCAGACACATCTATATGGAATAAATTCAATGACGGCATCACTGTGCTTTTGATCGCCTCTGAAGTTCAACCATAGACAGTAGGTTAAGAATCCCTGATCTGTAGGGTCAAGTCCAGATTCCTCTGTATGGCATATGAGGGGCGTAAGATCTGACCTACCTTATGTTCCTACCTCATCCTTTGTTCTAGTAATATAAATCTGCTGACTGGTTGCATGCTGTTTCTTGTTTTCACTCCCATTTGTGCTTTCTGAATAGAACATCCTCTTTATCCACTTATCTATCCTTTCTTTTTCCTAAAGGGTTTCTCTGACTCTTCACCTTCCATGCTGGGCCAAGTATCTGTAGAAGATACCACTTTTCCTATATGTATATATATATAAAAAAAAATCTTTAGAAGCACAAGTAGCTAAGACAATTTTGAAAGGAACAAAGAAGGTGGGTTGGGCCTACCAGATATCAAGACATGGTAGAAAGCTAATAGTAATCTAAATGTTGGGGTAGTAGTGCAGGCATAGATAAACCAGTGGCATAGAATAATAAACAGGTCAATGTGTATGTTAGAAATTGAGTATGATAGATGACATATCACAAATTCATGGTGAAAGTCATTACCAAATGTGGTTATCCATACTCTATGTTATGTATATGTGTGTGATCATGAAACTATAAAAAGTATGTTTTAAAAATGGACTGAAAGGACACACCAAACTTACAATAGTAGTTGTTATATTGGGGGTGAAGTGAGGTAGAGTAGGGCAGAGGTTAAAGGGGTCTTAAATGAAAACTTTCCTCTCCTCACAACCTTTCTGATACCAAATGTGTGAGTTTTTCCAGCACCAAACAATTCGTCACCTCTGGATACCAACTGAGTATTCTCTAATTCAATTCTGCCACCAACTACTCCGGTTTAGTGCAGACACCACAAGTTAAGGGTTCAGTTCCACAAAACTGCCCCCCATTTTCAGATGCCTATCACAAGTAGTGGGTCCGCAGTTTACCCATACTTCTGCCTGACTTGTCTACAAATAAGGACCTACAGCCATCTCCATAGGTTTTATAATTTGCTATAATGGCTCACAGAACTGAACTCTGGGAAACACTTCATTTACTCTTACTGGTTTCTTATAAAGGATACCACTCAGGAACAGCCAAATGGAGATATGCACAGGGCAAGGTATAGGGCAGCAGCCTATCAGCACCCCAATGTATTCAATCCAGGAGCTTTATGAACTCCATTGTTTGGGGTTTTTATGGAGGTTCCATTACATAAGAATAACTGATTAAATCATTGGTTGCTGGTGATAAACTCAATCCCTCACCCCTCTCCCTTCCCTGGAGGTCAGGTGGGGCTGAAAATCCTAACCTTCAAATCATGCCTTGGTCTGGTTTCTCTGGCAACCAGCTCCCATCCTGAAACTATCTAGTGGCTCACCAATAGTCACCTCATTAGCATACACACACAAAAAGAAAACATCATTCTGGAGGTTGCAAGGGTCTTAGAAGCTCTTTGAAAAAACCTGGGGTGAAGACCAAATGTCAGCAGAATTTGAGTAAAGCAAGTTACCCTCTGTAATATGAATGGGCCTCATCCAATCAGTTGAAGGCCTTAACAGCAAAGACTGAGAGTTCCCAACAACGGAATTATGCATCAAAACTGTAACCTAGAAACCCTGCCTGTGCTTTGGCCTGCAGATCTTGGACTGCAACATCAACTCTAACCCAAACTTCTAGCCTGCTACCTGCTCTACAAATTTCAGACTTGCCAGTTCCTACAATTGTGTGAGCCAATTCCTTAAAATAAATCAGTCTCATACTTGCTTTCTCTAATCTGTTGGTTATGTTTCTCTGGAGAACTCTGACTAATATAGCAGATAACGCCAGCATGTATCTGTCTGTCCAGTCTTGTTTTCTGGCCTATGTTCCAGTTAACTCCTACCTCCAGTTGTCTAGAACAGTCATTTTCACTTGGAGCATCTACAATCATTTCAAATACAGCTCAAGCAGTTGTTTAGTATTTACTGAGCATGAGCTATATTTAGTAAGGAAGAATGATATATTTGCTGTCAAAATAAATATAATAAAGTTCTTCAGTTATTACACTAAATATCAATAATCTGAATTTTCTCATTAAAAGATAAAGACCAGTAATAGATTGTGCTAAAAAAAAAACCCCAAGTCATGTGTAGTTTCTAATAAACATCAAATAAATCACCCTCAAACAGCAGAGCCATGATGCTACCAAAAAGTTTAGAATTGTTTCTCAATTACTTTCTAGAGCAACCATTTGAGTGAAGGCAGATTCCAAATCTGCTATTTTTTTTGTAGGCCTAAGGCTGTGGCTAAACTCTTGGTGAGCCTGCCCTAGGAGAGACCTTACTGAACTAGAAGAAAAATGCATGTAGATGACTGAGGTGAAGGTGGTACAGATAACCTTACTATGTGTCCTTACTACATAGTGGCCTATGCCAACTCAGGCCTATTTTTTTTTATTTTTTATTTTTTTATGAAGCCATTTCCTGTACCTAAGGTCAAGTTCCAAGTCCTAAGGTAGCCTTTTCCATGACTGCCTTTACCAGACTAATTTTGCTGCGTTAAACATTTGGAAGCTCCCACAATCTACCATCTAAAATTTAATTCTTTAGCTCTGCCTGGTGTGGTTCTGTGGATTGAGCACTGGCCTGTGAACTGCAAGGTCGTCAGTGTGATACTCGGTCTGGGCACGTAGCTGGGTTGCAGGCCAGGTCCCCAGTTGGGGGAATGCAAGAGGCAACCCACAGATGTTTCTCTCCCTCTCTTTCTCCCTCCT